AATGTGTACATGTGACAGGATCGCTAATATGTGCAAGGAGAACAATCACCTGCTTTTACTGTGTCACTCCCTCGTCAGCTATATGTGTCACTTATACAGGTAGTAAGGGAGCAACACATGCAAGCAGGTGAGTGTTTTACTGCCCTGCTGTGCCCTCCACTGGCATCCTGTTGCTGGCGTGTCCTCACCAGCGGCAGGATCACAAGTGTGACATGGGCCTTACCCTCCTAGAGAAGACTGCATTAAAAAACCTAGAACTTATTGTTTCCTAGTCCCTGTTTCTTATCGTTAAAGGAGAACTATGGGGTTAAGTCTTTTCCCCATAGTTCTCCTTAGGGTAACGGGAGGACACAAACTAGCGTACTCCCGTCACCCTAGGCTCAGTATACCACGAGCTGTAGCTGAGTATACTGAGACGCCGCAGCTGAAGCGGACCGCCCAGCTGCGTGACTGACTGCTGGCTCTGTCTATCTATAGGCAGAGCCAGCTGTACCCGCCCCCTCCCCCGTCCGTTCCGCCAGTCAGCGCTGGCGGATTGGAGCGGGGAGGGGGGAATCCAGCCCCTCCCCTGTCACGGCAGAGAGCCGTGACAGGATCGAGAGGTGAGCGAACGCCGGTATGTGTTTGCTCTCCTCCCGATCTACTGAGCCGACCTGTGACAGTCTCATTGTCACAGGTCAGCTAGAACTATGAGGTGAGTGAAAGGCACTCACCTCATAGTTCTCCTTTAAGCTTTCTGGGTATATTTCAAATTGTCCTGAGACTGAGTCTGTGCCCAAGGATGGTTGACAAGTGAAACATATCAAATAATCAAACAAACAGCAAGAGGAAGATAAAAGTTTAATGCCACCAGTTATAATTAATGCAGGTTCAGCCAGTTGTTGCAAGCAAATGTGAATACTGATTTGTCATTAGAAGAACACATGCAGCAACAGGCAAGTCATTAGGAGAGTGACACGGAAAGTAAGCCAAAGGCGCAAAGGAAAAACTTGTCTTTTGTAAGTTTGCGGAAATGTTTCTAGATTCAAAAACATTTTTCTGTAATCTGAAAAGTCTTCTTTGCACCTATTTAAAGGAAATATTTACTGTGCTCTTAATATAAAGGCTGCCATTGCTGGCATCCTGAAAATGCTAGATAACTAGCTTCTACTCGAAACTACTGGCTTCAGTACATTTCTAAGTCACTGACCTGGACCAAGTTTGCAGGAGTTCTTAGTTAATTCTGACCCAATGTTCAGCATCCAACAACCAGGTCATTGAATCCGAAGCCAGACACAGCTAAACAATTGATAAATCTAGGAGATGAGCTATATCAGTCTAAATATTCCCAACCGTACCAATTTCTTATAACCCATCAATATCTGTACCCTGCAGCTTTACATGAGAACCTCAATTATCATAAACTATTGATTACTAGCTGTGCTCTCGATTGCAGTTTTAAGTTACTCAGACCTATACCAATGTTTTTAAAATGCCTTGACAGCTCCATTAGGAAAGATGACATGTGCCTTTCTAAAAAAAACAGCTAAGTTTTAAGCTTAGTAATTGTATTCATAGAAATCAAGACTTGTGTATGCAATAAAACTATTTTTCAAATAGTGCTATTGCCCATTTTATTTCTTTTGTACTATAAAAAAATATTTATTGGGTGTCTTAACACAGAATACAGCTTTAAGAGTTCCATGCAGTAATAATTTGTTAGATTTAGGCTCTATTCAGGCTTTTCTATATGCATTAAAACATAAATGAACATGTTGACGTTGACATGTGTTGTGTTAAGGCAGCCCATTCATTTTAAAAGGGCCCTTAAACTTCAACACATAATATGTTTCTGCATTACTTTTGGACAATCATGAGCACCGCAACACACAGAGCCTTTATATCTGTGCATTATGAGGCCTGTAGTGGTGGTCCGCTTTACACTATATACAGTATGTGTTTTGGAATGGCATTCAAAATGAAAGGCAAAGCATGGACGGGTACCACAGAACTTTGCATCTGAACCTCCAAAACTTCAGATGATTTGTTATTATCCCTTGAAAATTTCCCCTTGCAATGTGCTTATTGCATTTGTAGTTTTTTTTTTTACTGTTATTTTCTGTTTTAATTGTTAACATGTCAATTAAACTTTTTCACACGTCTTACAGTGCACGGAAAGATGTCAATATACCCTAAATCCTACATGCTCAAGATATGGGCAGTCTGGTGACAAAACAATCAGCAGTCAAATTGTACCTAGAGGAACAGCGTTGTCATCCTAGGCTGCACTCCTGATTTTGACTACAAATATGTCTTTCTCTTATCATCTCCTTTATGTGGGGGATTTGTAGTTTACAGGAGGAAGATAACATTGTTAAAGATTTTTGTTCCCACCCCACCCCAGCACGCCGGAGCCCTGCCCCCAGCCTGTCGAAGCCCCATGCCCATCCAGACGAAGCCCCAGCCCGGTCACCAAGCTAGTGTGAAGGAGGAATATAGGAGGCAGGGAGGAGCCTCCCTTCCCTCACTTGCTCGTCACTGGTGAGGCATCAAGATCGATGTCCTCAGTGTTTGTTTTGCTTTTCATTTTATTTTATTGGACAGCCTTGCGATTGGTCCAAACCATCCACAGAGCTCAAGCCTCTAAGATAGAGTAGAGGCTGTTGCAGCTCTTGCCTCACTAGTTAGGTTACACAAGCAGTGGGAAGCCGGATGCAGTGCTGCCTGTAATTAACAGGCAGCGCCTCGTCCATAACAGTTTACATAGAAGGGATGCTTTCCCTTCTGTGTAACCTGTAACAAACCGCTCTAAATGGAGAAAAAGCTGTCAGCTTTAGACTCGAAGCTGGCAGCTATTTCCTCTATAATAGTAGGTGAGTCTCTGGCTCACCTGTCTCCCCTGACCGCACATCCCTGATCAGCTGTAGATGTATCTGTACCAAAGCTCTGAAATGCTTCTGACATCTGAGGGATAGACTACAGTTAGAATTAACTGCATTGTGTGAAATGTCCAGCAAAAAATGCTGTAGTAGGCTTTTATTCTTACTACTACAGGCTCAGAGCTTCCCCCGAACGCGTATTTTTTTTTTTCGCTGTCAGAGCCGGTTTTGCAGTTTATTTGCACACTTGTTCAAATGCACATTTTAGACCTAAAAATTAAATATTTCCTGAAAGCAGAGTCCCTGGAAAATAAAAGGGTGGCAGTATGTCACGCAAGATTAATGCAACTGTTTATTAAACCCAAATTTCTAGTAAAAAACGCAAATTAATTTTATTGCCCAAAAACACAAGATGATACCACAATGTTACCAATAGATAAGACCAATTTTTAAATTGAGTAAATAGATACCAAATATGTCAAGCCTCAAAATTGCGTGCGCCCATGAAATGGAGAAAAATTGCCCATAGGTGATGCTTTAAAAGCCTTTACAAGCTTAGTTTACGCCATGTGTAGTGCAATCGTTGTTTTCATATGTAGGGGCACCCGACGCATGTGTTTATATTTATTTGTGCTTGGGGGAAATAATTTTGGGTTTTATTTTATTTAACTTTATTGCCATCACATAGCTTCATTGAAGCTGATCAAGCACAGATTGCACTTAATCAGCTTCTCCCTGGCCAGCTCTGCCAGGGAATGAATGTCCACCGCTTCCAGCTTCACTCACTGGAGGAGAGATCAGAGAACAGATGTTTGCTGATTTTCCATCCGCTCTACTCACCGACATCCACCAAAGCCGTTCCAGGCCTGCTGGAGAGGGAGTGGAGCCTGGGGTACATGGCAGGGGTAGTTAAGTGGGGGGAATCAACTTCTAGTGTGTGTAAGTGATTGGGTGGCTTTAAGGCTGCATGAATTACTTCTATCAGAAAGTTGACAGTCAGCTAAGGAAGTGTTTACACACTCCCGGCTGCTATATTTAAAGGCCCCTCATGCCACGGACATACAGTATGACATACATAGGTGCCTGTCAAGGGGTTAAAGACATAGTAAACTGTGGGTTGAGATTTATCCAAAATTCTCTTATTAGCAAAAGTAACATTTGTGAAGGTTTTTTATCAAAGAAAAACTGTAAATATAAAATTATTCCATGATGCCTTGGGTTCCCGTGTTATAGGGCATGATAGCAGTCACATGGACTGTTGCTGCTATTAAGTTTCACATGTTTCTTTCTCTGACGTGCACAAAAACTGACTTCATTAAAGACAATGATTCAATCTACTCACTTGTGCTTAAAGCTTATCTAAATCCCCACCCCCTAAAAAAATATAATATATTATAGCTTATCGAGCCTTGGAAGTGGTGGCTGCATTAGTTTTCTTGTTGCTCAGGCTTTGTTTTCTTTATTTTCACCAGTGAGTCTGCCAACTACACAATTATCTAAAGCTAACCATACACTGAATGAAATTTGCTCTGTGGGTGACCCTTTCAGCAGTTTACCATTTGGCATTCTTAGATCAGAAAATCAAAAGACCCAGGCAGAAAATTCTTGCACTGAACAGTGACTGCAGCTGCACTCACTGTTCGGATATTCTGACAGCGGCACACCTGCGGCTGTCAGAATACAATTGCCCAGTGAGAGATTCCTCCATCCCTGCTGTTGATACTGACGGAGCAATCTGCTGGTATGGCAATGCTCACTCACTGTATTTTATGGAGAAACAGAATTGTCTCCCTAGGCTGCTCTCTCTTGAATTGAACTACAAACTCCTTTGCTCATCTACATTACATAGGAGGCTTTTTTTTTTGTTTACAGAAGATAGCTGGAAAAGCTGATGACATTGGTTGAGATATACAAGAACTTACAAAGAAAGTCTGGCAAGATCAACAGGTACTACATCCAGAAACTGCACCTGAAAAATAGAAAACAAATGCAGCCACCACATCTAGGAACAGGAAAGCTGCAATATGTTACATTTTTCTTCTTGGGTTAAGATATCCTTTAACTCTCAAGCAGACTACTACTCACTTATATAAGAATACGGAGAGCAAAATAGAGCTCATTTCATTTCAGTAAACCCTAAACTAAATACTATATCCCAGAGATGTGCTTACTAGACCTATCTATTGGTCTATTCATGTTTTGTTTTCCCTCTGCAGGCACCTGGTCTGTACATTTGATCATATAAGCTTGATGATTCCGGAAAGTAGAGATATCAGGGGGAAAACTGAGGTAACATGAGTAGAGTGGCACAGCAAAAGGCTTAATGAGATTCGTTCATCTGTCTCTGCATCTTCTGCAGCACTTCTTGCATCCTCCGTAGCTGGGGAAATAAGAATGTTTGCATTAGAATATCATTCATAAAATTGCTCTTCTAAGTTGTCATTGTCTACAAAACAAATGTACAAATAAATATATAAACAAAAACAGCACAGAGGAACAAAGAAGTGGCTTGATTTAAGTATGTGTAAACCAAATCACTAAAATCTCATTTGAGCTGTAACATGTGAATGTGATTTCAGAAGCCATTTTCATTACTCCTAAATCTGCAGCTTTCGTTAAAATAATCTATGGTAATCCTGCCAGTGAGGTTGTTGTTCAGGCACTTCCTGTTATAGGTTGACAACTCTGTTCCTATCTCCCAACTGCACTCCTGAATTTTCACCCTAATGTACCGGCTTTAGTTGGAGACTACAAGTGCCTACTTCAACACACATTACACAGGCATGGACCACTATTGTCACTATCAGGAAACTCACTTTGAAAAATACCATGCAGTCATTACTAGATCACATACATGTAGACAAGAAGTGGCTGCAAGGAGACTGCAGGAGATCTGCATCAGCACAGATTTGCCCCAGAAGAATATGAAGATGTTCATGACAGATACTGCAGATTTATATAATCCACCATGGTTGGCACATATGTGTGCAAGCAGTGATGTAAGAGGCGAATGTGTGCAAATTCAACCAACCATCTGGCAATTTGCTTAAAGCTTGCGCTTTAATAAGTGTTTTAGGAGTCTATGCATTGACTTATTTAAGTCCCCATTCACACTTATAAAGCATATCCTCATGTGCCACATACGTGCAATTGCCATGTGTCACATAAAGCTAGGTTACCACCTGTCCGGGATTCACCCGGACAGTCTGGGTTTTGAGTCCTCTATATTCAGTGTCTGGGTTTCAGGCCAGCTGAAAGCCTGACACAAGGTTTCACAATGTCAAGTGGACAGGAGCAACCATGGGGTCCAGGTGTTCTAACGTGTGTGTATGAAGGAGGCACGGGACACGGTGGGGCACTGGAACTCTGGGAGCAAGGAGGTGTCTGCAACACAGGGTGCAAATAAGTCTTGAAGGGCACAGGGGTTCTGCTTCAAGCAGATGTGTTGCTTGCTATCTCTCCTCACTCACTCTCTCTCCTGACTGTCTCTCCTCTCTCTCCCCTGCCCGTCTCTCCTGTGCCTGTCTCTCCGCTCTCTCCCCCGCCTGTCTCTCCTCGCTCTCTCCCCTAGCTGTCTCTACCTTGCTCTCCTGGCTGTCTCTCCTCACCCGCTCTACTGCCTGACTCTCCTCATCCACTCTCCTGCCTGTCTCTCCTCACCCGCTCTCCTGCCTGTCTCTCCTGGCTGTCTCTCCTCGCGCTCTCCCCTGGCTGTCTCTCCTCGCTCTCTCTCCTGGCTGTCTCTCCTCGCGCTCTCCCCTGGCTGTCTCTCCTCGCTCTCTCTCCTGGCTGTCTCTCCTCGCTCTCTCCCCTAGCTGTCTCTACCTTGCTCTCCTGGCTGTCTCTCCTCACCCGCTCTACTGCCTGACTCTCCTCATCCACTCTCCTGCCTGTCTCTCCTCACCCGCTCTCCTGGCTGTCTCTCCTCGCTCTCTCTCCTGGCTGTCTCTCCTCGCTCTCTCCCCTGGCTGTCTCTCCTCGCTCTTTCCCCTGGCTGTCTCTCCTTGCTCTCTCCCCTGCCTTTCTCTCCTCGCTCTCTCCCCTGGCTGTCTCTCCTCGCTCTCTCCCCTGCCTGTCTCTCCTCGCTCTCTCTCCTAGCTGTCTCTACCTAGCTCTCCTGGCTGTCTCGCCTCACCCGCTCTACTGCCTGTCTCTCCTCACCCGCTCTCCTGCTTGTCTCTCCTCACCCGCTCTCCTGCTTGTCTCTCCTCACCCGCTCTCCTGCCTGTCTCTCCTCGCTCTTTCCCCTGGCTGTCTCTCCTCGCTCTCTCCCCTAGCTTTCTCTCCTCACTCTCTCCCCTGGCTGTCTCTCCTCTTTCTCTCATGTATATTCTCCAAAAAGAATTGCGGTGCTAGAGTGTTCATGTTCAGGTTTCGCTTGAAGAAAAGGTGGCAACCCTATGTATAAGGCACCTTGCCGCATGGGATTTCATTGGAGACTACAAGTGCCTACTTCAACACACTTTACACAGGCATGGTCCACTGTTGTCATCATCATCAGGAAACTTGCCCTGAGAAATGCTATGCAGCCACTACTAGATGTCATGCATGTATACAAGAAGTGGCTGCAAAAGAGGCTGCAGGACAATTGAACCTGATCTGAGACGGCAGAGATTTGCAAACCACAGCAGAAGATGAAAATGTTCATGACACATACTGCAGATTTGTATAATCCACCACGGCAGGGACATATGTACAAGCGTTGATGTAGGATGGAAATGTGTGAAAATTAAACCAACCACCTGGCAATCTGCTTATCTTAGCTAGCACTTTATAAAGGTTTAAGTGGTCTATACATAGACTTATTTCAGCCCCCATTCACACTTGTGAAGCGTGACAACATGCGCCATGTTTAAATGCATTTGTTACGTGTCTTACCTAGGGCAGCACATTGATTTTATCAAGAGCTGCCTTATGCTTAACAAATGTGGCAAAGAAGCTTTTGCATCTTTTTAAACATCAAGCTTTTTGCACATTTTTAAATGCGTGTGAAAAATACATGTCTTGCTTGCCTCGTTTGGAGTGCCCTTAACAATTAATGGCATGGCAAGTGTGACAATTTCATGTGTTTTGTGAACGCAAGCAAAATCGTGGGATTTGGGCCACGTTCACAAGCTACATTAATGTGAATGGGGGTTTAAAATGAGCAACTTAGAGTTGTTGAATCTACTAATCTACTGATGATTTTCTGTTAGTGCTCAAAGCAAACAATCTTTACAACTGTACCTATGAAATAAATATTGAATAATATGTAAGAACTATGTTAAGTAGAGAGTTTGTTCACTGACCTCTTCATCCTTTTCCCGGATGAGTCTCATTGTCTCATGGTCTGGTGATGGAGGCACACTGGGGATTGGGAAGTCTGTACCACTCTCTCTGGTCAGTTTACTGTAGAGACCAAATGCAAGAACCCAATAAGCTGCTGGCCCACTTAGCAATGTCATTAGGTTACTATAGGTATGGGTGGAATGCAGTATGTTAATTTAAATAATACAATTTTCCTTGGTTTTATTGCTTTTAAAAGCTCAAAATCTACTTCTTTTAAATGATTAAGCAGTAGGAAATAATTGTTTTCAGTTATTTGAAATAAGTCAAGCTTGGATCAGGGATCCTATTACTAAAAAAAATAGTACAGTTGACTTTAGCTTTCCTTTTTGGTAGGCTACATATCTAGGGGCACTTGCAGGTCTTAGACCTAGACCTGGCATAGAAACCTGAACATGCTTCATGGATGCCTGGTGCTAGTTTCACCACCATTGTGTCCTATCAAAGTCTACCACAAAATAAGCAACTACTAGTTTTAAAACACTTTAAACATGAGGAATTTGAAAAGTAGATGAACCACATTTTTTAAGTCCTTACACAGAAAGAGCAGAAGATAAATAATTTTCTATGTTTGGTAGAGCACTCCTTTAACATTGCCTGGTGTCATGATTAATACCCCTTTTGGCAACCAGGGGTCAAACAAAATCCATACCCATTGGTTGTAATCTGCACACATTTTTTATAAATTTGAAAATAGCTCTTTTATCCAAAATAGTTAAAACATGTCAGCAAAATAAAAGATTCTGTATGCGATGTTTTAAGCCCCTGTCAGCTTTCTCAAGTAGAACCACTGGGTATGGGCGGAAAAGGAATGCACACAAAGTTTTCATTACTTTCCAAGAGTAGCTAAAGGTGGACAATAAGCAGTGAGTGTGACAGATGTGTCCCCATGCACCAGTCTTATATGGAAACAAAGGTAGTATCCAACAAAACCAATCAATTTTTATCCATAATCATCTAAGGAGGTCTGTGGACATAAAGTTTCCATAAACTGCCCACAGTTTGGCATATATCTCCTCAAGAATGAAGTATGGGGGAGATAACTGCCAAACCTCTGGGCTTCTCTGTGGCCTGCTGTAATATTCTGGTAATATTAACCGCAGGTCACAGTGAACATTCTCTTGGTGCAATGAAGATTGCCTCCACATAGAGAAAGAACTATTTACAGCCCCTGTAGAAGGTCAGAAAGAGTCAATTTGGAATGTTCCACTGTTTTAATAAGCAGCTTAACAACCTACCACACACTAGGCAATCATTATGCATTGCATACAGTGCAAATCAAGTGTTTTAAGCAACTATCCGCTATTATTTATAGCCTTTAAAATGTTATGATAGTCAAAATCAGTGTCAATCAGAAAATACAAATGAATGTTCCCCCTGTCCATACTTGCGGTTTCTTTCTCTGACCACCCGCTGAGTCAGGCTTTGGATACACTGAGCCCGGTAGTTCTCGTAGTGGGTCTCTCGGGTCACATCTTTCAGATCCTGCATGTGAGTTCGAATCAGCATGGTACGCAGCTTGACAAAGTCACAGTGCTTCTCATTCTCCACTATGGAAGACAAAAGCTGGTTAGATAAGAGAGGACAGTAGAGGATAATACTCTGAACCAAAGAATACATTTACAGGAGTGGACACATTCATACAGAATTCAGACGTCATTCAGCCACCTCTAGGAGCCTGCAACTTTCCATTGGCAGTAACAGAAAAGGGATAAAAAAAGTTAAATACGAGCTGTAATTTTAAGGCACTTAAGTTGCATAGCTCCTAGGACGTGTCCAGCTGTAAATACTGTATTTTCAGGATAATATATCATATGTAGGGTCTCTCACTGGTATCTATCTGCAGGTGTGGTCAGCATTCTTGATAAATGGCTGCAACAAGAATATAACTTATAGAATAAGACAAACAGAAAGTATGTGTATGAATCTTACCTTCTACAACGCCCCATGGGTACAATCGGCCTCTCACACGTTTCCCATTGACTTCCACAATGGTGTTAGAGCCAATCACAGCAAATGGAATGCTTTTCTGGGGGAAAAAAAGAAATATCTAATAAAACATATAAGTTTCCCTCATTTGTTCTAGTTTAACATTGTTATCAAGGCATGTAAGTAAATAATCAATGTGTTATTACTGGTGATCATTAAAGAAGAATTTTGGGAAAATCACAAACTTACCCTTGCCGTGAGGCTACCCCACACTACCATAGTTAAGTGCTCATTTTGCCTAGGGGACTCGAATAAAGCAGATATATTCCCCTGATTCTCTGTTCCACAAAGGTCAGTGCTCACCTGTCTCCCACCCCGCTCTGGCTATGGAATGTCGCTCGGCGTCCACATGACTAATGCAAGTCAATGGACCTGCATAAGATGTGATGTCAGCGGTCCTTAGACTGCCAGAGCCCAGGGAAGAAGAGGCTGTGGGGACCTGAGGATGTGTCAGAACTTTTGATCTGATTAAAATCATTTTTTTTTATTCCCCACTAATCTTCCTAAATTAACTGATTACCTGAGTTCTTTTGGCTAGGAGCTCAAATTAGCCCCATTTAACAAAATTTGCTTTTGATGCTAACACTATATAACCAAATGGTCAGATTAAATTATTTAGTCTGATATACTGTGGGGGGGATTTATCAAAATCTGGAGCAGATTTGCACTGCAGCCAATCAGCATCTCTCTCTGATTTTCAAATCTCACCTGAGCAAACTGAAGATAGAAGCTGGTTGGTTGCCATGGGCAAGTGCTCCGAATTCTGTTTGCCCCAGTTTTGATAAATTCCCCCTATATGTCTAACAAAAATTGCTTAAAGAAAGATTCAAATCAATACTTTACCACTAGTTTAGAGATTCTTTAGTCTCAGACAGCGATATTCAGCTTTGGTCAATTTATGGCCAGAAGTTCTTTTTCAGATGTTCACATTCTCTTCTAGTCTCGTCCCCCTTAGTCCCGTTCCGTTCTCCTCTCATTTCGTCCCTTTCGTCACAAATTTCTCTTTATCAGGGAGGGGAAAATACTATCTTATCTCAACTCTCCTCTGACGTACCGAACAGAATAACCGAGCCAAATGCTGGTTGGCAGCATTCGGCTATTCAGTGCCGAACGTTAGCCTCAGCCCATCCAGATGTTGCATCGGCTGAGGCGAACAGGTTCTTCCCTTCGGTTTAGTCAAATGTGTTGAGGCTGTTTGGCTGAACCGAAGGGAAGTGAAGTGAGCCAAATGCAGCTGATGTACGGCTAAAAAAAGTTGTGCAGGGCTGCTGTGAATGGCTGAACAGGCTTCGGCTCACTTCACCGGCTCGGGTATTCATTCGACTGCCTGTGTCAGATTAGTGAATAACCCCCTGGTGATTGGCTGAAGCGACAAACACTCCCAATATTCTCCCATTGGCTGGCCCACTCTGTGGGAGGGTCTCACCCCACTACAGGTAGGTACAGACAATAGCAGAACACCTAGGAATGATCAAATGATCACAGGCTAAAAATCAGCCAGACTGATTACAGTTCTAGCATCATTAAATTTTAAGAGCCACTCTGCTTAAAGTGAAGGGGCTACAGGTATGTCAATTATTTTTTTAAGCCTAATTTCAGTTTATTTCTTCTTTTACAAAAGTTTTATTGGTTTTAAGGAATACAATATTGTTGCAAAACTGTTATACCTTATGTATACCGTACATATAATAATAATAATGCGAAAGGTGAATGGAGTTGAGGTACCAGGTGGAGGTTGCAGGAGATAGGATTTTTTCCGAGGAGTGTATAATGAGTATAGGGCAGTCTAAGTGAGGGCGGATTGTAAGAAAGTTGAAGTAACAATGAAGGCAGGAGGTACGATGGGGGTGTCCACGGAAGGGTAGAAGAATGAGGAATAGATGCTCAGGAAATGAAAAAGGCAAATAAGGAGAAAGAAGAAAGGAAAAAAAAGAGGAGGAGGGAGGTGTGAGAGCCCGAAAGTCGTTTGGTGTTAACATATGACGTTATCAAGGGTTGTTAAGGATTTAAGAATCTTTTGTGCGTTTCATTTAGGATAAACATTAATTTTACATTAACCATTGTGCTACTGATCCTATTTTTGACCTCCTCAAAGTTCCATTTGGGGGTCTTCCAAGCCCTTGATGTGGTCATTTTGGTGTCCATAAAGCTTTGTGAGACAATACTTACCTTCTCCCTGACATTGTCCCTTGAAGATTCACTGCTCTACAATCCATTGTCAGTCCTCTCCCTGGTTCAATGTGTTGTCTTCCAGGGGTGTGTGAGTCGCAAAAGTTGCTGGATAGAATTAAAATTCCTTTTGAAAATAAAATAATTCAAATGCGTGTATTTCAACTGTGTATTTAGCTGTTGGAGTTCAGCTTTGGGCATGCGCTTAAATTAACTTTTAAGCCTTAGGAATCATAAACACCGTCGTATAATTGTATGTAAGATCTTACTGGCAGCAAGATCCTACGTAAAATATTGTCTGTACACTGTATGAATGTAACACTTGTGCTAACATTTACATGGGTATATCGTACAATGCAAACATGCATATTGGTTTCTAAAACTCTTGTTGGTTCGAGCTGCCCGCTTCCTAGCAATGAAGGGCACTAGGTGGTTTGGGCAATCTGTGGACTAGCAACAATGGATGTTAGGCAGCAAGGAGCCATCTGCAATGAGGATGCTAGGTGGTAAAAAGCCTTCTGCTATCACTGAAGGACACTTGGCAGCTTAAGCCACCTGTGTCCTAGCAACAAAGGCGACTCCAACAGTGTGCATTTGTGCTAACATTTACATGCATACAGCCTAAAATATGGTCCAAATTCTGCGCAAGTTTGCTAATATTTAGAAAGCTTTGTGCATGGGCCCACATTCAGATCCTCCCCAAAAGAAAAGTACTACATTTTGTTCATGTCATGTGTATGAGCCCTTAGCAGGTTCTAGTTTCACAACAATGTTACGATTTCAGACCTTGTGACTGAATGTTACATAAAACTTTGAGTGGCAACACTTCTTTCTAGTACAGTTGCTTGACATCTGACTAATCTCAGCCTGGCACCATTCTCTGTCTATTGTCATTCAGTCATTACCTTCAACTCCATATCCTGAATCTTAAAATCTTCATCTTGATCTGAATCGCAGTCAGGAAACTGATAGATTCGAATGCCAAAATAATCCAGCTCCTCACGTAGCTGAGAAAAGGAGTAAAACATTGTTTAGAAATGTATTCTTCTCTTTAAAGGGAATTCGTGAAGACATACAGTAAATATGGAAGCTGCTACTACTGACACAAGCTTGAAGGTTTTTGTCCCCTTGCGTGCTTTAATACTTAAAGAAGAGAAAGAAACTAAGCAGGACAGGAGTTTTGAAACTTCACTAGGTGCATGGCTGATTGACTCACCAATAAAGCCAAGGTCAGGATGACAGAGCCTACACCTTTAAAACCAAGTCAGCAATAGCAGCATCTCTGTCCTCATAGGTTCACTATAGAGTTAATGAAACCCATGCCAAATATTAGGGCTGGCTTCTCTATTTTTTTCATTCAACCTGCGGGCTGAACGAGAAAAATAGAGCAGATTCCTACATCAACACTGTGAATCACCGCTGATGGCATTGTATTCAATTTCTGACAGAGGCCACCGGTCGCTGTCAGAATACCACAACAGAGCTGGCAGCTCATTGTTTGCCGACTATGGTCATATGAAGATTTTCCAACTGGCTCCTTCGATCAGCTGATTGAGGGATGCCGGCTGAAAGGGTGGCAACAGCTGCACACACTGTGCGAATTTCGGCTGGTTCCTCAAGAACCGACCACAATTCGCACAGTGTATGGGCATCTTTAGTTTAAGATAGGTTTTGTTCAATTTCCGGGTAAATTACTAACACTACAGTGTACACATTTTTAGTTGAGATGGTCATTTAAGGCACTTTATCCCCATCTTAGCCACCCTTTTTATATAAGTCTCATCATTATGGAAGCTTGAATTGAAATTCCCCAGATTTAACCCCAAACCTCCTTCTTGCCATTTAAAGCATGTTCATCATTTTTTTTTTTCACCTTTTTCCTTTAGCAAGAAACAGCTTTTATTATTCCATGCGACATCACTGCTAATCACAAGGCTTGTAAAACTGTTTCAGAGATAAGCCCCAGGACTACGTCTTCCCTATACAGTGTGTGGGTAGGGTCTCAAGACAGGACAGCAACATTGGGGTCTATTCACGAAGCAGCCGAAGGATTTAGCCGTAGCTTCAGCCGATCCTTCAGCTAGCTTCGACCCCAGGTCCCCTTCGGTTCAGTAGAACCGAAGGGATGCTGTACGGGCTATTCACAATAGCCCGTACAGCTCCCGAACTTAGCCGAGCGGCTCAGTCGAGCCGAAGGCATATGCCTCGGCTCGGCTGAGCCGCGCTGAAAGCTGAAGCTGGC